AGCATAGGCAAGATGTGTGACTGAAAGAAAGTGCCTCCCAAGGTAATATGGGGAGAGATGGCCAGAGGAAGTTTCTGCTTTAATGGTTCTGCTGAATGCTTCTGAGAAAAGAATGAATAACAGAGGGGAGATAGGGTCACCTTGCCTAAGTCCCCTATTAGGCTTAAAACTCTTGGTTTGATGGCCATTAACCAAAAGGGAGAAATGTGAGCTTTGAAGAAAATTTAGGATAAGATTTTGGAATTTATGGCTGAACCCAAATTTATTTAGGACAGTCATAAGAAAATTCCAGGAGATCCTGTCAAAAGCTTTAGACATATCAAGTTTGATAGCAAGATTTCCTCCTCTGGTAGGGTACTCTAACCCATGGATAAGTTCCTGGGCAATGAGTATCTGATCATGAATTACCCTTCCCTTAATAAATCCTCCTTGTTCTGGGGAGATTATGTGAGGTAGTAAGGAGCTCAACCTTTGGGCAAGAATTTTGGAGAGGACTATACTTCAGCCATGAGGCCATTGTAAAACACTAGATTATTAAATGAAAACTTGTGTTACTCTTTGAGTAATTCCTTTAAAATAGTGTGATGCTATTTTAGCCAAATTTCCTAATGAAATATTTCTAAAGTTGGCTACTTTTGAGTGTGTGTTAGGAGTCTATTTTATACATTAGTAGTGATTATTATTGTGTGAAATAGATATCAGCCCCAAATATAATAAGAGTGTGTTTATCTCTTATTCATTATTTGGTTTATCCATCCTTGTTTTCTACCCATTTCGTTCCTCTCCATTTTCTCTTCCTAAGCCACATTCTATTCTATCTTCATAAATCAAAATACGAAAAAAAAACTCCTAGAATACCATCCACATTTTCACCATATCACTTCTCATCCATTTCCTTCCGTAAAATCCGCCACAAAATAGCTACTCGTTAAGACCCCGGGTCTCGGGTACAATATGCTTGGCCAAGTACTCAACTTGGGCCTTGAGAGCAGCATTGGAGGCTAGGAGTTCTTCGTTGGACAGGTTGTTGGAAGTGTTTGACATGATGATAGTAAGGGAAAGAGAGTAAAGGATATGGAAAGGAAGGAAAAGGGGAAGTGTGTTGTCTGGCCTCAAGGGAATGCTCAACAGCAAGCTCTGATACCAAATGTTATATCTAAGCTCAGTGTTTTATAGTCTCAAACTCTTTATTTGCAGGGAGGGGAAGATAATCGATTGTCCTTAGTGGATAATCAATTATTGAAGGCTTCAGGTTCTTGGCAGTTTTCTGGGAATTCTATGAGAAGGACGATAATCGATTGACAGAGGAGTGTCAATCGATTATTGAGAATTGCAGGTTTCTGGGAAAAGCTGATAATCGATTGTCTGAAAGTGATAATCGACTATTGAAGGCTGCAGATGTTTCACGAAGGATAGATAATCGATTTCTACTAACGATAATCGATTATTTGACAACTCGAGACAGGAAAAGAAGTATTTCTTTAGGAAAAGCCAAGTTGGTGTTAAGGGATACTACACACTCTTATCTTAACTTGGGGTTGAGTCTAGAATTCAAATAAGATATCACACACTTATTCAAATAACTAGAACCTAAAACTCACACTCAAGAGAACCACTCTTATGATATAGGATTAGGAATTTGAAATGAAACACACAAGTGAATCAGTTTGATTTAAAATTGGAATACAATGTGTTTCTACACCCAGGCCTATTGTTGAATATATAGGATTACATTGGAGGGAATGAGGGAAAATATAACTCACTCAAAATAATGCCCATGTGCTTATGTTTCTTAAGTGGAATGAAATCAGGGATATGGGTTTTTTGGTGGGGTTTTGGGCTGTTCCTGAGTTGCAGGAAATGTTGGGGGAAGGAGGGATGAATGTGGGGAGGGATGAGGTTGAGGGCCAAGGAGAGGGGGTAAGATGAAGTGGTACATTTGGCTGGGTATTTGTGGAGGTTTTGGGGGAATTTGAATTTGGTCAGGGTTGGGAGACAAAGGGGTTTGTGTGGGGTGTGTCATTTGGAGTTTTGTTGTAGGTTTGTTGTGGGGATTGGATGTATTATTTTGAAAGGAAAATATCCCTGGTTATTTTGGGTTATAATTTGAGTGTATTGGGGAACATAATGGGGACCATGCTGGGTGTGTTTTTGGACACTTATTTTCGGAATTGTAAAATAAGAGGAAAGGGAAATTGTTGCTTGGTTTTCTTTGGATTCCTGGGAATGAATTGTGAAATGTTGGGATTGGTTATTAAGGTGGTGATGGGTTCAGGGTAAGTATGGTTAGGGTGCATGGTTTGGTGATGATTTCATTCCAGAGGGGGTCATAAAACTCGGACATTATTCCATTGATTTCCTTAAGGACTTGAGGGTGATTTGTGGTGCTCTGGGATATATCAGTAGTAGGCTCTCTTGTACAGTTTTCCCTCTAAGATGGTAAACTCGGGGCCCTAATTCTTATAAACTTTGCCTCCTTTGGATCTTTGGTGGAGGATCCCTTAATTGTTGGAATACGCTTTGATATTGACATTTTTCTAATGCCAATGTTTATTTTATGTAGCTTTCGATATTGACAAACCACCATCAACATAGAACAAGTTGAGAGAAGATTCAAATGCGGTGCCAAGAATTCTTTGAAAGAACAAAAAGCACTAGGAAATATGATGGCGTTTTGAATCAGAGACAAGAGACTTGGGAATTTATTGTAAAACAAGTCTACTTAATATTTTTCTAACTCTTGGCTCCAACAAAATATTTTTATGCATCAAAAATATTCGTTCACACATTTAGAAATACCATGCCCAGGTTTCTAAACGCCAGGCTGAACATCGAATATCCCTTAGATATTCGATGTTCAGCCTTTCCATGGTTTTCCGGAATGGCTGGTGGTCCTTTATTTTTGGCTAATTAGCCTTTTCTGATTTTGGCCTTTGTTTTCACATCCGCTTGACCAACCTCAAAACATGGAATATCAAGTCAACTTTTAGAACATTAATATTTTCTTATTTCAAAGTCAACTTTTAGAACATCGATATTGTCTTATGAACATCGATGTTCTCATGACCGTTAGCCAACCCAATGACTCTTTTAGCTTTCCAAAATAAAAAAGTCAACCTTCAGAACAACGATATTCAGTTTAGAATATCAATGTTTAGCCTATTTTTCAGTAGACCAAATTTGATTTGATTTCCACAAATCAAGCCAGTAAACCTCAATCATCTTCTATATGATGCACCTTGTTTTTTTTGTATAAAAAGGGGTCTCTTAGGTCTACTTTAACACACAATTCCTTGCATAATTCATAGCTTTACATTGCATCATTTCATCTACACTTTTCTTAGCGTTTGAGAGCTAATTCTTGAACAATTAAGTGTGTTCTTATTCTTATACTAGTCTACTCATATTCTACTCTTGGAGAGAGTTTCTATACTTGAGTGTTCTAAACACTTTGAGGGAAGGTTGTTCTCTTGGTTGTTCAAAGGAAGGGCAAATTCCTTCTAGATGTTGCTGAGGTTCATTTGACTCGAGTTCTCAAGTTGTATCGGTTTGTTAAGCACCCATAAGGTTAAAAGAAGTATAGTAGCTCAAGAGAGTCCCTCGAGAGGTTGGATTAGCCACATGTGGTGGTGAATAGTATGAAGTCGCGTATTGTCTCATTGCTCATTACTTTACTGCTTTTATTTCCACAATTTTATTCCTATGTTTTTTAGAATCGTTCTTAAACGATATTCATGCCTCCTCTATCGCTGGGCATACATTCTAACAATTAATGTCAGAGCCTATCTTCTAGACTTAGCCGTTTGAGAGTAAAAAGATTTTGAGTTCATCTAGAAATCTGTATGCAGGAATAGGTGAAGGGCAATCAACCTATTGGCCAGCGCTTTTGATGGCACGAACTACACATATTGAAAAGAATGTATTAGGATTTTGATAAGTTCATTTTGTTCTTATCTTTAATTTCATATTCTAAATATTGTTGCACGTAAATAGTATACACTTATCTATTAAAATATGTTTTCTATGAATAAAATTATTGTTTTCGTTCTAAGAGTCATCGAAAGGGACTCCATTATGAAATCATCTATTTTAAGTTCAAATACTTGAGAAAAAAGAGAAATAATCATCAATAGACCGAGACTTGTGCTTGAACGTGTTATACCCGAACCGGGGGTCTAAACGAGTTACTATTTTAAGGAGGAATCAAGGGATGATGCAGCTTGAGTTCAAGGTTCAGGAGCAGGTGATAATCGATTATGGCTAGGTGATAATCGATTGTGGAGCTGTGCGGCTAAAACCCAGAAACTTCAGGGAAGGGAGAT